AAAAAGGTAGCTGGAAAGAAATGCATCTAGAGATACTTAGGTGATGTTCTTAAAGCCTCCTCTCACTACCAAGAGGGCAGAAAGGCAAGCATGAAGTGGTGAGCATTGATCATAACTCTCTGCCTTTTCAATGGTGTGTGGTTTTCACCCCTTTCATTTGGTCACTTGTCTCTGTTGACCAGTTTCCTTCCCTTCTTTTTTTTTTTTTTTTTGTACCAGGGATTAAACTCAGGACCTTGTGCTTTGGAAGCAGGTGGCAGAACCACTGAGCTAAATCCCCGGTCCAACAATTTCTTTTTGATGCTATGATTTTCTTTGTGTTCATGAGATCAGTCATTTATAACTGCCTCACTCACTGGCCACTTATTACATCCATGCTATTTTATAGTCTCTTAAAGTCAATTTTCTAGGTTTTAGTAATTTCTAACCATCTTTAGAACATTTCCATTTATTTATTTATTTGGTTTTTCTTGAGACAGGGTCTCACTATGTAGATGAGACTGACCTGGTACTCACTATGTAGCTCAGGCTGGTCTCGAACTCACAGCGATCCTCCTGCCTCAGCCTCCTGAGTGCTGGGATTACAGGTGTTGCACCACCATGCCCAGCAATTCCATTTAATTTTTATAAACTTATCTCCCAAATTTCCCATTTTTTCCCATTACGTTACCACTCTCCTGAATTTAAAACCTAGAGTCCTCTTAAAAGTCATCCATCCCTTTTACCAAGTCTGTTGTGAAATCATGTGTCTTCTGGTGTACAGCCTTTCCAATTGCTGTGCTTTATCCATTTATCCACTTTATTCCAAGTAGATTTCACATCACATTTAAATTATTTCAGTAGCCTTTCAATTGGATCTTTAGGTCACCTTCTCTAATCCTTCTGGTACAAAGCGGTCAGATTAGTTTAATTAAAATATCACTTGTTTTGCTGCTTTCTTCCCAGAGATCAGTTTTTTCCCATTCCTACTAAGATCAAGTTTAGGATTAGACATGGAGGAAGCCGGGTTTCCTGCTCTGCTTGATCCCCCACTGCACTTCCAGACCATCTCCTGCATGAAGTAGGTGCTACACAGTCCTCTTCACATACTGTGTCTGTCCTTTTCTCCTTGCCTCTGCAAACATTCTGGTCTATAGTGGTAGTTTCGCTGCTTCTCAGTCTGTCCAAATGTCTCTGGACTTGTGCAGAAAAATTTCCTCGATTGGCCAGTCTGTGGTGATTTCTTATTTCCTTGAAGAAAAAAAAGGTTTCTCTGTGGATGTTTTCATCTTTTGCCAAATTGATTAAAAGTTCTTTGGAAATAGAAACTCCATCTGTTCTACTTTGTATTGGTACTTGGGAGTTTTTAGAAGGGTATTCAGTAAGCATTAAATTAGTGAGATTATTAAATAAGAAACTCAACTGATTTGTTAATACAGAGATTTATGTGTTCAGAGATGGTTTTATCCTTTGAAATGTTGTTCCCTTATGAGTTTATCAAATTCAGTTTGATGTGAAGGGCTTAGCAGTTGCTTTTATTTTATAAATTTTACCTTTTTTTTTTTTTTTTTTTTTTTTGGTACTGGGGATTGAACTCGGGACCTTGTGCTTGTAAAGTAGGCAGTGGAAGCACTGAGCTAAATCCCTAACACAATAAATTTCACCATTTTGATAATTCATATTTTTAAAAATCATTGCTTCCTAGGCGATTTAAAAGTTTCTCAATGTTTTCAAAGTTATCAAGTATGAATGTTGTTTTGAAAAACTAGTTAGCCTGAACTGAAGTTCCCAGAGACAGCAAATCAGTGATTTTCACTCACCTCCATGTTTGCCAGATAATTTTTTTTTAGGTATGGGGGATCAAACTCAGGTCCTTGTGCTTTCGAGGTGGAACCACTGAGCTAAATCCCAGCCCAAGATAAATGTATTTGCTTTTTTGAGACAGGGTCTCACTGTAGTTTAGACTTACCTGGAACTCACTGTGTAGCTCAGGCTGGTCTCAAATCAATTCTCCTGCCTCAGCCTCCCGAGAGTGCTGGGATTACAGGCGTGCACCACCATGCCTGGCAATCCAGATAAATGTGTTTGAAAGTTCACTAGGCACCCTCTTAAGATGTTGGAAGAATGGTATTTTAATCAAGATGAGAAACATCCAGTGATGAGACTGTCACTGAAGCACTTGTAATCAGGCCCAATTAAGGACAGCTGAAAGTTGATTGTGTAAGATCAGCCAAAAAGAATCGGAGAAGATAGATTCAAAGAACCTGTATTAATAGTTTCTACTTGAACTTGGAGGATATTTTTGTGGTGTATGTGTGTGTGTGTGTGTGTGTGTGTGTGTGCGCGTGCATGCATGCATGCGTGTGCACATGTGCTCACATGTGTAGGGAGGATGGTTGGGATGAAAACAAAAGGAATGTCAATATTGCTAAAATTTAGATGCTACTAGACTATTGATTTTGAATATTTTCATTTTCAACTTTGAGTTTACCTTTATGAAAGATACAATAATTGTACTTGCTGCTGTCACATGTCTTTGTGCCACTGTAAAACGTAGAGTCCTAAGCTGGAAAGACACAAAGTAGATGAATAAAGCATTTTATATATGTTTAAAGACACTACCTAGTTGGAAAGTTATCTGCACACATTTATATGTGTGCTGCTAAGAAACTGATGAAGAGTTGGTCCAGAATACCACTAATGACGATGATCCTAGTCAGCTTTTTGAAGAAATAAGCAAAATACCTATGAATATGTTATGGTTAGAGAATTCACTTTTTAGTTTTCTTTTTAAAAAATTTCCCAGGACACTGAATAGTACTTTCCATATTTCTCCTCTATATTTTAATAAAAGAACAGTATTTGTATGAGTTTCATTTTGTGTGTATTTTTTGGTTTTGTTTTTTAAATAAAAGACAAAAAACACTGCCTTTATTGCTCTTTTGCTTTTGTTACCCCTTTTAGGAATTAGGGGCAGGAAATCTATTAAGTACCACGGATTCAGAGCAAAGAAAAGCTGTCAAGAGCTCTGCAGGTTTTAGAACAGTATTTGTATGAGTTTCATTTTGTGTGTATTTTTTGGTTTTGTTTTTTAAATAAAAGACAAAAAACACTGCCTTTATTGCTCTTTTGCTTTTGTTACCCCTTTTAGGAATTAGGGGCAGGAAATCTATTAAGTACCACGGATTCAGAGCAAAGAAAAGCTGTCAAGAGCTACCTGCAGGTTAAAATAAACTAACTTATTTTATGACCTGTAGTTGGAAAAGAAGGAAAATGATAGAATTAGGAAGAATAAAGTAATTAAAACTTGCTAGCTTGAAAATGCTTTTTGTTTTTATTTGTGTTACTTTTTAGTAGTGGGAAGATGCTTTTATCGTGTGAGGTTGTTTTCGTATTTTGCTAAGTAAGGAACATCATTTGAGTTAGGAAAGTGTTATTCGTAGTGCTTAAAAGTTATGCTCAGAAACTGTTTCTTTGCTCTGAGCTCCTTGTGTGTGCGACTAAATCCAGAACTTACCATGAATTAATATTTCAGACTTAAACTTTAAGTATAGTTTAAATTGCAAGGCCTACACTTAACATAAGTTTGCAGATTGGATTTAATGATTGGTGGCTCTCTTCATAATCAAGTGCCATTTTCTGAGGACTGTATATGTATTGTTGAAATGAGCACATTTTTGAGAACTATAAACAAAAAATATCAGATGTTGTATTATCTGAGCATAACTTTCTAGGACCTAGAAAACCCCTTAGACAAGAGCATAGTGAAATAATCTTAGAATAAGATTCTATCTTCAAAGGAATATGTAATCGCTTCTCTGCCTTTTGGCTAAGATCAAGTTCAAAAAAAATATGTATCTTGCACGTTCTAATACCATTATCAGAAATCATGTCATATAAATACCTTTATATACTTAAGAATGAAGATGTCATTTAAAGTTTCACAGATCTTGGACCATTTTTATAGTAAGAGGGCTGTGTTAGTTTGATTTTATGGCTCCCTTTTAACAAATAGTGAAGTAATCCGTCCGCTTTCTATATGGGATATGTATTTTAAAATAAGCTTTTTAATGAAGTTAGCTGAGATTTTAATGAATTTAGCTGGGAGGTAGAATTTATGTCTTCTAGGGATCACACTGTAGTTTTTCTATAGTGCACAAGGTAGCTAGAAGCTTAGGGTCATAGCATCTCTTCATGATAGATGTTGGAAGTCTGGAAGATAGTACAGATGTTTTCAGATTGAATTGGAAGGAAGCTTGCTTTTCTTAAAGTTACTTTTACACATTAATCCACAAGGACAATTTCTTAGTAAGGCTTATCATGTAGCTTGGGTTAGAAGCTCCCCCAAGATCTTGCTTGCCTTCCCTTCATCCCCCTAAGAGTGTGTCTGTGTGCCGTGCTTAGCATCTGACTAAGGCTGTCTTAGGGTATGTTCAGGAGTTTTACTGATAAAGCTCTGGCTTATTCAGCTCTGGTATTATGTACTATGTGTAATATATGAAAGAGCTGAATCTTTTAGTTATTTTCCCAACTCAGAAGAGGAGAGATTTTTCTTGAAATTGTCAGTGTTTTACTTACTGTCTTTATCTGTCTTTTTAGATAGACATCTAAAGGAATAAATAACAAGTTGATGCTAGATTTTTACAACTCCTGGTCCTAGAGCCCATATCATACCCATTTTCAGTCTAGCAGTGGTTAGGAAAAGACATTATACTCACTCACTCCCATCCTGACTTACTAAAAGTAAGACTGAGAACAAAAATTTAGTGATTAGAAATACCACGTACATTGTTCTGTTTCCTTTCAACAAGAATCAGAATGTAAACTGAAATTTTCTGACCAGGAATTTGGAAGATTATGATGTAATGCTCTGGGCCTTGATTCCAGAAGAAGGAGCTCTCTGAATATGGGTTTACTAGTTGGTGGTGAATTCATGAGTCGCCAACTATTAGGCCTTTATGTCCAGATATTATCTTAATTTATGGAGTAAGGTCCCTGAGTTCTCCTCTTTCCTTCCACAGGGCAAGCAGGAGGACTTCAAGACGACAGTTCTGGAGGGTATGGAGACGGCCAAGCATCAGGTGAGGGTGGCATTAGATGCTTGCCACTTAGTAGCAAGAGCCGCCAAGTTAGGGATTGATGCTTGCAAGTGATTTTGGCTGTAGTACCCACATTTAAGCCAGAAGCTCAGAGGAAATGTAACCTACAGGAGAGAGTAGTAGCATAGGAGAGAGCATACCAGAACAAAGGCAAGCAAAACCTGTCAAAGTCCTCAGGCCGATCTCAGCCCTCCACTCTTCTTCATGTTTTTGAGGAGACGGCGGGCACTCTTTTCACCAGCAGCCTTTGCAGTAAATGTGAACCGATATAAAACTTAGAATCATGGGATCTTTAAAAAGAAATACAGCAGTATTCACAGAGCGGAGAAACTACAGACTTGGAAGTGTTTTTTAAAAAAAAAACAAAGAATCGAGAGGTATCCTAGGACTAGTGAGACAAATTATGCAGGCAATTGACATCTTTATAGTTATGGTGGTTATGTGATGTTGGGCACATTTTTTTCAATTACTATTGCATAGTTAATCATATTATGGCTTAATTTGTTTCTCAGGCATAAATTATCTTTAAAAAGTCTTTGAAGTTCTTTTTCAAATCAGTATAGATTTTTACTTGTAGGGAAAAGTAAAAAATTTATAGGAGTCACCATCTGGAAAAATTAAGTTTATTCCAAGAACCCAAAGTAACATATCTATATTTCATCCTTTGCCTCTTGAAGGATGTTTTGTGTGTTCCAGTACTCAAAGCCGGTTTATAACTGCATTTTGATAGAATTGGAATGGATATTACTTCACTATTGGAGCCTTTCACTTTTCAACTAAGTTTCATTTAACATTATTTGTCTGTTAAAATTTGCAGTAGTAGGTCTTGGGAGTGTTGTGTTCTACTGTCTTGAACCAGGGTGATAGCTGCATGTTAGTACACTAGGTGATAGTTTGAGGGGATCTTGAAAGTTAGAAGTAGACTTTTTTAAATGTTGTCCCGAGAATCAAAGGTTCATGCTCAGTATCATAGAGGAGTTGAGATCCTTATTCAGAGTCTGTTGTCCATAGCAACAGATTTCAAGAATGTTTTTCATCAAATTATGTCCAAGTAAATGTCCAAGAATGTTTTTCATCATATTAAGTCCAAGAAAATCTTAGATGAAATGCTTAATGGATCAGAGATAGTCTTTTAGAAATTTTTTATCTCAAAGAAAGAGTTTTCTTCTTTTTGTTTTGTTTTTATGGCAGTATTTGCTCTTTTGCTTATATAAACAATATGGTATATTGCTGAAAATAAGAGTAGACTTTCATGTAAAACTGGTGCTCTGTTGAGTTTTAAGTGTTGAACGTGAGTTTTAAGTGTTTCCAGGAGTAGTAGTGATCCTTCGAGCTTTCTCTTTGGGTCTTTGTCGTGCTCAGAAGCATGCATTTGTGGGAAAATCAAGAGTTAGAAACAGGCTTATAAGTGATCAACATTCTTCTCTCTCTTTTTTTTTTTTCAGCTAACATTCTTCTCTTAATGAAACCAGATGACTAACATAGGTATTTTGAAGCTGAGATCTTATCTTCTTAAAAAATCCTCCTCCATTTAACATGTACATCCTAAATCCTAGAACTAAAAGGGAACTTGAGGTCACCTTCTCTAGCTTCCTGCTTCAAACAGATAGTATTTACCTATTATATGAATTAGGACCTGAAACCTAAGGAAGTTTAATGACTTGATCAGTGAGAAAACAGCAGTTGTGGAGAAGCAATGAGAACCCAGAATCTTGCTTCTTAGTACGTAGTCTTTTCCTTACACTGCTAGAATTGTTTAAAATAGACATTCACCCTAAACAATAAAAGTCTAAAGTGTAAACAAATGACTTTGTGTAACTTTGTTTTTTCCTCTCTCCTCCTCTTATTCTTATGTTTAAATTATTATAAGACTTGATGTGGTACATCTTTAGTGTATTAATGTTGTCTTTTTTATGTAGATTCCTTAGTCTCTTGTTTTCTCTGTTCAACTAGAAATCTAGTTCTACTTTATTTAAAAAAAATTAAAGGCAAGTAACTCATGGAGGCCTTTGATTTGATTTGATTTTTTAAAATGTATATTTGTATACCTCTGTAGCTTGTCTTACAAGCATCAGGAAAATTATTTCATGGAATAATGGGCCTATAATCTCACCTGCTTTTCCAACTCCCCTTTTCTCCCTCTCTAGTTGACCTGCTCCCAAAAGATCTTAATTATACTCTTAAATATTGACCTACTTTTTACTGTTTTCAGAGAAAACATGAGGCAGTCAAACCTATAGAAAGGTCTGTCTGCTTTAGCATTCTTGAAGGTGACAGGAATTTCCCATATGAAGTGTTGAGCAGGAACAAATTGATCAGAAGACAAGACTGATTTGTAGGCAGCCTTGAAGTTTTTAAAAATTTAGCATCTTTGGAACATTCTGAATTTTCAGAATGATAGATTTCTGTTAATCACATCTAAAATTACATTCCAGAGCCAAGTGTAAATTACATGTACTATCTATTGGTAATTTTAAAAAATAAAGATATTGTTAAAGTCAAGTAAATTTTAAGAGGTTCTTTTCTGTAAAGAGATACTTATGAAATGGGTTATCCAAAATGGTCTCATTTCACTGTAAGAAATGTTTTGATTTAGCTTTGCCAATAGTTTGAGTTCTAAATTAACTTTTTCTTTGAAAAGGATTAAGCTTTTCCTCTGAATTTTGATAATAGTCTTCATTCTTTGAAATAACCGTCCTTAAACAAAAAAAGGAGCTAATTACTGACAGTTTTAGGGTCAATTTTTCATTTATAATATTAATATTAGGGTTTTGTTTTTTTGGTTTTTTTTTTTTTTTTTGGTTTTGGTTTTGGTACCAGGGATCAAACTCTGGACCTTGCTTTTGTGAGGCAGGCAACATCACCACTGAGCTAAATCTCCGGCTCCGAACAAGATTAATATTAGAGTTTAAGGATGACTAGTTTTTAAAGATGCTGTGTGGAAGGTGGAGAATAGTATTAATTCAAGTATATGTTAGTATCACAACTTTTAGCTTCTTTAATTTTATTTGTTTAAATATTTGATTTAGAAAAATACATTGAAATTACCACATGACTTACATACCCAAATCAGAAATCTGTGTTTTGGTAAAAACACTTACATTGAGGAACTAAATTTAATAGGAGACTTAACAGGGTTTTTTCCTATATGTTTTTCTATTGATCATTAAAAAATAGTACTTTGGAATAGAATTGGTGTTCAGTGACCACTTATTAAACGCAGATCCTAGTATAGTCAAAAAAGAAAACTTTTTGTCAGGTAGAAATGGAATTTAATAGAGCTAATTGATTTTCATGGTAATAAAACACATTAAAATATGCTGAGGAGTAACCTAGAGATGTTTGGTTCAGGTACTTAGGGTTAATATGTATATTATAATGCTCCTTATAGTGTGTGTTTTTTTGGTCTTTGTTTATTTTTATTTGGGGAGAGGTTATGGGGACATCAAAGCTGTGTTTTTGAAAATTTTTGTATTTACTGAAATAACCTCTATTTCTGATAGCATTTCTTCTTTTCTTGCCTTAATTTCATGCTTGTAACAGTATGGCTCTCACTTTTTTTTTTCCCCCTGAGAAATAATTAATTGTATTGACAGTACTTTTTGTGGTTGTTGTTCCTGATAGTCTTTAGTTTTAGGTTGGGATTAATTATATATAAGAATAGTTGATTTTATATAGTAATATAAAACACAGTATTTATGCCCTCATTTTTAACAGTGGACCTTTTTTCTCCTTCCAAGAATTGTATTTTTTAATGTGTGGCCTGGATCAGTGTGAGGCCCTTTTGCCTGGCCTCTTATTAATCTTTTTTTTTAAAGTAGTGTTTGCCATTTGAATATCTTTGTGGAAACAGATTCCTCAGTAGCTTATCTATAGTTTTCTAAGCTAAATCTTTACTTGCTTTGTTCATTTTCTTTTCCTAATCTTACTAATACCGTTGCTAATTTTACTTTCAGTAACAGTACTTTCAACTTATTTTATGTGCTTTAAAATGATTAAATATGGGCATCTGGTACCTATTTTGTTGCTTAACATATTTTCTTCAGGGATACTGAATTTTGAAACTACATTTTGTCTTGATTTGGGGGGGAAGATGGATGCTAGAGATGCTAAATATGTGCTCTACCATTTAGCTGCACCTTAGCTCTGTGTCTTTGTATTTTTATAAACTAAAAAGTGTATCTTTTTAGGAATATGAGAACAAAGTATACAAATATATTTCTTAAAATATTTTATAAAGTTGTACTTACTGATTAAAAATATTTAGTAAGCAATTAAAGAGTTTCAAAGCTGGTATGATGGGCGTACCTTTCATCCCAATACTCAGGAGGCTGAATGAGGCAGGAGTATTGCCACAAGTTTAAGGCCAGCCTGGCTACATAGTGAGACCCTGACTCAAAAAATTTCAAAATAAATTTTCTTGTATATAGTATTTGTGTACACTGTATGTATTATATAATACATGTAGTAACAATTTAAATGTTTATGTTTGAACATTTCTAATGTTTCTGCCAGAAATGATACATTTCTTACATTATTCTGACTTACTGTTGTAGTCTGCTTAATTTCTTTCACTACTTGCTAGTATTGAATAATGAGAACTAAAGGATGCTATTGACAAGATACCTCTTTTCTATTGTTGATTATTCAGCCTTAGAGCCATCTTTCTGTTCTATGCTGAACCTTAAAAGAAGGCATGCAACTGCATTTTCTGCTTCCTACCCTATTGCTTTCCTGCTGTAGTGTACATTAAAGTATTTTAATCTAATTTACTTTTTTTCCCCCCTTTTGGTTGGTACAGGGCATTGAACCCAAGATCTTTGCACTGAGCTATATTCCAAGCCTTTTTGGGGTTTTTGGGGTTTTGTTTTTTTTTTTTTTTTTTTTTTTTTTGGTACCAGTGGTTGAACTCAGGACCTTGCACTTGCAAAGCAGACAGTGGAACCTTAAATCCCCGGCTCCAAGCCTTTTTCATTGTGTATTTTGAGACAGAGTCTTGATGAGTCACTAAATTGCTCAGGATGTAGCAAGATGTGACGGTGCATGCCTGTAATCCCAGCAGAAGGCTGAAGCAGGAGGGTCACAGTGAGTTTGAGGCTAACCTGGACTACATAGTGAGTCCAAGGCCAGCCTGAACTGTACATAGGGAAGATCCTGTCTCCAAAAAAAAAAAAAATTGCTGCAGCTAGGTTGGAACTTGCTATCCTCCTGTAGCTGGGATTATTACAGGCGTGCACCACCATGCCAGCTAATCTAGTTTACTTTAAAAAATTGTTGTATGCTCTGATACTGGGCATGGTGACACATACCTGTAATCCCAGAACTTTGGTGACCGAGGCAGGAGGATTGGCACAAATTCAAGGCCAGCCTGAAGTACAAAGGCTGAAAAAAATTTGTATGCTGTGAATGGTGTTCATTTTAATTTAGAACATCAGTATAAAATTACTTTACAGATGAAAAAAATATTATAATGCCTTCTTATGCCTTAAAAAGTATATTGTTTGATATATTAGTAAATTATAAATTTTAATTTGTTTGTTTTTTGAGACAGGGTCTGGCTTTGTAGTTTAGGCTGGCCTTGAACACTATGAAACCCCAAATGACCTTGGACTTGAGGTGATCCTCCTGCCAGGGCCTCCTGAGTGCTGGGATTATAGGCATGGGCCACCACGCCTGGCCAGATTTTGATATATTCAAATCAAAAGAGTGGTTGATTTTATAAGGAAGTTTTAGCTTTTGGCGTGAAGTAAAAGGTGTTTGTTTAGAATGGAGGCAAGATTGGTCTGTGTGAAAAGGCAAAGCTTTAGAGTTCTTAAAGCAAAAAAGAGGAGTTTTGAGATTGTCATTCCTAGTTTTGTACTCATTTGTGCATTTCCTAGTCATCCTCTGCTTTCTTTGCTAGGCGTGGAGGGTGCAGCTTTCCAGAGCAGACTTCCTCACGACCGGATGACCTCTCAGGAAGCAGCCTGTTTCCCAGACATCATCAGTGGGCCTCAGCAGACCCAGAAAGTTTTTCTATTTATCAGAAACCGCACAGTAAGTGTCCACGCTGGCCATTTTCATCTGCATTATAGAAAATGCATGTGACTTTTATAAAAAAAATGAAAAATATTAGGAATTTTAGGTTTTCTGTAATCCTGTTACTCCAGAGATAACCATTTTTTATTTGTTTTTCTTAGTTTCTGTTAGTCCCTGGTAAGCGCACACAAATGCACACATGAATGAAGATACTAAATGAAATAGGATAAAATGTTAATAATTGTTTAATCTAGAATGTATTCATAGAGGACATTGAGGGCTGGAGATACAGCTCAGTAGGAGAGGGCTTGTCTAGCACGCACAAGACCCTAGATTCAATACCCAGCACAGAAAGAAAAAGAATGAATTTAATAATGAATATTAATACAGACATAAAACTTGATTTTAGAAGCTGTATATATAGCCAGAGGCTTATAGATTGCTGAAATATCACATTAAAGAAACAAATATAATTCAGTTATTTGAAACTGGAAGTGGGTGTGGTTAACAGACTTAACTGACCGGAAGAGTCAAAATACCTTATTCTGGTTGCTGGATATAGATTGGATGAATAATGAGGAAAACACTGCTGCATATCCATATTAACAACTTGGGGTTTTTATTTTTCTTCTGAGCACAAATCATTTCTCTTTGGCTAACCTGATATTAAATCATATGTAGTAGAAATAAAAAAACTTCACCATGGAACAAAAGCTTGTATAAAATCTTTTATTGGTCTTGCACATTAAGTGTGGCAAGCAGCACAGTGCTGTGGAAACAAAATTGAATGAGGCCAAGAACCCGAAGGGTAGACGCTGATAGCCACTATCTGGTGGTGCTCTCTGCCTCCTAGGGTCTCAGAGTCATGGCCTAAACAAAGAGGGGAGCTTGACGACAAGGGGCGGGTTCTCAAATTATGTTTTGTACTTTGAGATAATTTAATTTGTAACTCTAGCCTTGATGGGCTTCATTCTGTATTTAAAAACCCAAGGAAAAAAGCCTGAGACTGCAGATTAATAGAAGAGCCAGTCCCCAAGAGAAAACTAGTCATCTTCTTACTGTTGTGGGGTGGGATGTACATACGACTCCTTATGTGGAACACGCAGCTGCTGTAATTGTAAATGTGGCAACAAATGAATTAAAGAGGCAGAGTTTAAAATAAAGGAAGATGGTTTGTTTGGAAAAAGGACAGAAATGCTACTCTGAAAGCATCAGAAGTGAATAGCTTGAGATAATTATTATTAAACACTTTTTTCTTTGGGTACTTTTAGAACTATATATGAAATTTTTGTTTTTATACCTTGAGACCCTATTTGGATTTATTTGGGGATCCTTTTCATTTATAATCTCATTATACCCATTAAGAATCTTTATTTGAATATATAAAACAATTATTTTATTTTTTACTTTTTGTGGTGCTGGCATTGAACCCAAGACCTTGTGCATGCTAAGCAAGTGCTCTACCATTAAAATCCAACCCAAGAAAAAATTTTTAAGTAGTAACCTTGTCTTTCTCCCCAAGGATTAGAGAAAATCTTACCCTTTTCTCACCTGGTTCAGCTTTCTCCATTGGCTGAATGATTAATGTCTAGAATGCTTTACCTGAAAGTTGGGTTATAATTTAACAGCTAGACATTTAAGTTCCCATTTTTGCCTTATTGTAAGTAAGCTCTGAGCAACTGTATATATTTTTTATTCTGCTTGAGCTTTTACTTCTCATGATGGAGATCTAGAAAGGAAATGACCTTGTCAAAGGATATGAATGCTTTTTTAGTTTTTTTTTTTTGTGAGGAGGGTATCGGGAATCAAACTTAGGGCCTTGCACTTTCCTTGCAGGTGGTGTGCTGCTGAACTACATCCCTAGCCTCTCTTTATAACTTTTGATACATATTGCCAGGTTGCCTCTCAGAAAGACTGAAATCAGTCAACACTCGTGCTCTGGTGCTACTCTTGCTTTTGCTAATAAAGTAACAATTTGTGCTTCTATGAAAGCCAACATCATCTCAGTGCTTTCTATTTCTTAGATCACTAAAATTGACTAGTCATTTGTATTTCCTCTGTAATTTTTTCCTTATTTTGTTGTTATCAAAAATTCTGAAGCCATAAAATTGAGGAGGCAAGGTGCTTTTTAGCCGTCAGTAACTTCCATAACTTTGCAAAACTGCTGTTAAATTTGGATTGTTGGTTATCCCATGTAGCCAGTGATTGGTAGATTGTACTGCACTTTGCAATACAGAAAAGACTGATTTTTAAAAAGTGAATGAGAAATTTAGACAAAATTGTCATGCTTTTTGTTGTATCTGAAGGAAGATTTTCTTTATTTGAATTTGAGTCATGGATTTATACTGATTTCAGGCTTCTCTGATTCATTTTCTTTGACCAAAAGTCAAGATTTAGGGAAGAGTTGGCTCAGTTTAGAGTTGTAGTCTCTGGCTGTGAATCAGAATATAAGTAAGCCATTTTCTTCAGCAAAAATTGTATCCATTCTGTATGTATTTTGCCTCCCAATTTTAAAACTATAGCATTAAGATTATTGTACTAGAAAATCTGACCTGAGCTCTGTTTTATAGGATGAAAGAAAAAAGTTTGGTGTGAGGGTTGATGTTTGGGTCAGTGTAATTGAAAAAAACAGTAAATGTTAAAAACTTAGTACAATGAGGGTCCAGGATTTAGCTCAGTGGTTATGTTTCCTACCTCACAAGCACAAGGTCCCTAGTTCGATCCCCAGTACCCCCCCCCAAATTTTGTTACACTGCCATCATCACTCCTCAAAACACTTCAGACACACAAATGCCATCGTTCTTGTCACTTTCTGAAGCAGTTCTGGAAGTCCTTTTTTTTTTTAGTGTGTTTAGTTGCACTGTCATGGCTGCCTCAATGTCCTGACTTGATTAAAATTGTTTGCTTTTCATGGTTATTTTGACCTTGGAAAAGAGCCAGAAGTTGCATGATACCAGACCTGATGAATAGGATACATGAGGAGATGCTGTATTATTTTTATAAGCCTGCCTTTCTCTTGTGTAGTAATCTGCAGCAGCATTCTCTGTATTTTTTTTATCACACTCTGTCATGATAGTCATGAAAGAGGACGCTCAGTGGTAAGAACGATGGGATTTGAAGTGGGAAGAGGGAGTGTCTTAAGGATTTATGGCAGTGTATCTTTTATGGCAATGAAATTTTTTGGTACCGGGGATCGTACTCAGGTCCTTGCGCTTGCGAGGCAGGCCACCGAACCGCTGAGCTAAATCCCCGGCCCTGGCAATTAATTTTTTAAAATTAAAAAATTGGGCTGGGGATTTAGCTCAGTGGTTCTGCCGCCTGCTTTGCAAGTGCAAGGTCCTGAATTCAATCCCAGTACCAAAAAATTTTTTTCTTAAAATCATCATATATTTTGATTGCACTGAATGAGGAATTCATTTTCCCTTGACAGTGGCCTAGGAGAACAATAGAATGTCCATATTGATCTGATCATATCCCTTTATAACTTAGTTTATGTGTAACCAGGTTAACTCTTTTGCTGAAACCTTGTCCATGTATCAGTCTTTATTAATTTTTAGGTAAGACTTAAATATGGTAGTTGTGTGTATGTCTGTATAAAACAGGAATGAATATATATATGTGTGTGTGTGTGTGTGTGTGTGTATATATATATATATATATATATATATATAT